AATGAATGTCCTTTATCTGATCATCACAGCAATGGCTCCTCCAGACAGCCTGCTGCCTTTAGAAGACTGGTTCACGTCAAGTCACATAGTGACCAGCTCTCCCCAGATAATACATTAACTGGAAACACCAAAGTTCACCGGGGTAATAAATCTCTGCAGCCCTAGGTCCGTGGTCAGCAGGAAGGAGGCTCCTCCAGCAGCCCAAGTAATGATTCAGTCCGTCACAACGGTGACCACTAGCTACGCCATGACCTGGATGACCGAGAACCTTTTCACCTTTGACCTCGTATGGGGCTTCATCGCTTGTCCTCATCTCAGTGTATTTAAATCTGATTTCAATTCAACATCCAACACCAATCCACAGAGTGACCATTGGTGGATCCATAACCGGCGTAGACTGGTCACTTCTCTGTGGCATCATCCACCCACCTGGGTCTTGTGAATTATGAGAATGTAACAGGCCTTGAGTCTCAGGAGTTGTTCCTCCCAGTGAAAGCTCTGCTGCACGGGGACTGCAAGGGTGGGGGGTGAGCGATGGAAGTCTAAGAACGTGTCTGGTTTTACAATCAGATGGTGTGCGGGCACCAGACTCGGCAGCATTCCTCTTCCTTTGTTTCCTTCTTTACGGTGTTTTGAGCTGCTTGACTTCTCAGGTGCGTATCACATAACTCTACGCTACATAAACCTCCGGCATTGACTTCAGTTTACATGTAAACATCGCAATCATTTATTACAACCTCTACAATATCCTCCACTGGGGAAAACAGGAGCCGACTGACCGGAGAAAAGGGCTTCCGGCTCTAGTAATGGTCTACCGGTTCAAGCTGGCCCTCCTCATGAACACTTCCCTTTGCCCCGTTTGGCTCCTGGTGGAGTCTACAAGTGTCCACCACAGGTACACCTTGTCCGAGAGGACAGTGCAGGCAGCTGGTGGCACAAACAGAGGCAAACGTTGACCAAAGAAAGGGGCTTCCTATTCTAGTAATGGTCTACTGGTCCAGGCTGGCCCCCCTCATGAACCCTTCCCCATTGGCTCTTGATGGAGTCTACAAGTGTCCGCCACACGTACACCTTGTCCGAGAGGACAATGCAGGCAGCTGGTGGCACAAACAGAGGCAAACGTTGACCAAAGAAAAGGGCTTCTGGCTCTAGTAATGGTCTACTGGTCCAAGCTGGCCCTCCTCATGAACACTTCCCTTTGCCACGTTTGGCTCCTGGTGGAGTCTACAAGCAGCCACCACATGTACACCTTGTCTGAGAGGACAGTGCAGGCAGCTGCTGACACAAACATAGGCAAACATTGACTGAAGAAAAGGGCTTCCGACTCTAGTAATGGTCTACTGGTCCAAGCTGGCCCTTCTCATGAACCCTTCCCCTTTTCCCCATTGGCTCCTCAAGGAGTGTACAAGTGGCCACCACACGTACACCTTGTCCGAGAGGACAGTGCAGGCAGCTGGTGGCACAAACATAGGCGAACTTTGACTAAAGAAAAGGGCTTCCGGCTCTAGTAAAGGTCTACTGGTCCAAGCTTGCCCTCCTCATGAACACGTCCCTTTGCCCCATTTGGCTCCTGATGGAGTCTACAAGCAGCCACCACACGTACACCTTGTCCAAGAGGTCAGTGCAGGCAGCTGGTGGCACAAACATAGGCAAACGTTGACTAAAGAAAAGGGCTTCCGGCTCTAGTAAAGGTCTACCGGTCCAAGCTGGCCCTCCTCATGAACACTTCCCTTTGCCCCGTTTGGCTCCTGGTGGAGTCTACAAGTGTCCACCACAGGTACACCTTGTCTGAGAGGACAGTACAGGCAGCTGGTGGCACAAACATAGGCAAACGTTGACTGAGGTACTGATGTTGGATGAGAAGATCTGGCTCACAATCATCGTTCCAGTTCATCCCAAAGGTGTTCAGTAGGGTTGAGGTCAGGGCTCTGTGCAGGACACTCGGGTTCCTCCACCAAGCTGGTCACACCATGTCTTTATGGAGCTGGCTTTGTACACAGGGGACAGTCACGGTGGAACAGAAAAGGGTCTTCACCAAACTGGGACCACAAGGTTGGAAGAGCTCAATTGTCTTTTATACCAAAAGGTGTTCAGTAGGGTTGAGCTCAGGGCTTGGTGTATGGTCAGGTGGACACTAATTTTTGGCCGACACATTGGTGTTGAAGGAAACGAGCACGCATACATACATGTGTCATCGATACAGACGTGATACTTCTAACATTCCTCCCCCCGAATATTTCACAACAATTTGCTCAGTTGTTAGGATACATTTTTGGTGGTTTGGAGGATATTAAATTATCATTAACGTAAATGAAGCAAATCCTGTGGAATCCGGGACGTCACATGATCGGAGGCGCAGATGTCAGTTCATTCCTGGGACGATCCTCGTGTTACAGACATGACGGACTTCATGTACTCTGTGACCTCCCAACCCGCCATTGATGGAAGGAGTGATGGAGAGGGACGTGGGTGGTGGAGATGTTGGATTGGACATCATTGACCTTATATGGCCCATGGCGCTGACCTAAAATGCCCATGTGGCCTTACAAGGTCCATGATGTCACCAGCATCCCGCCCCTTTGTTACCACACAACTGCGTGGTGGGGAGTACACCCTAACCCCTCACTCTCACCCTAACCCCTCACTCTCACCCTAACCCCTCACTCTCAACCTAACCCCTCACACCTAACCCCACCCCTCACCCTAATCCCAACCCCTCACTCTCAATCTAACCCCTCACCCCCTAACCCTACCCCCTCACCCCAA